GATATATATATATATATATATATATATATATATATATATATATAAAGCTCTAAATCTTAACTACTGGATTAGGCAGAAACTGTTCTACTGTGAAATTGTTACTATTTCTGACTAGGTATGTTAGAGAAGCTCCCTGAATGTATCTCTTCAAGAGTGTTAAAATGTCCCAAAGTGTGGCTGGGAATCACAAAGATACTGTGGAAGGAGTGTAACTTAAAAATAGGGTGGGAGGAAGCTGCCGATGGCTGGCACTTGTATTTGCTAATTCCAATTATTTTTCCTAAGTTTTGGCTTTGATTATTTGTTTGCATAATTGTCTTCATGCTATTTTTGCAGCCTGTTTTTTCTTTTGATTTTAGCTACTGCTTTCGTCAACTAGATTTTAATTTCTACAACTGCAGCTTGTTTTTTCTTTTGATTTAAGTCACTGTTTCTCTTAACTATACTTCAGTTTCTTCAACAACCGCTACTTAACAACAATGGAGCCCTATCCATCTACAGAACTTAAATGCTTCCCTTGGCTCGCTCACACTAGATCTCAGTTTCTACAATACCCTTTTAACAAGGGAGATCTCTCTTGTGTACATTCAAAACATCGATCCAAAGATCTTTTCGTTAGCCCAGTGATTTAGGCTTTTTGAGTGAGACCTTGGCAGGGCTGCTTTCCTAGCTTCCCCTCCCAGATATTTTTTTCTTTCTACTGTCACCACGAATGGCTTTTCCAGTGACACTGTGACTCAAAAGGACATAGGAAGGAAGATGAGAGAGGAACAGGGGCTGGATTCTGGCTTGAAGGACACAACCTTTGTGGCTGTGGGTAACTGGAGTTCGGGGAGGCAATGCTCAGGGTTATCCTGGAGGGGTGAGGCTGCAGAGAATGGGAGCACAGATACTGAGCTGCCATCTGGAGCGAGGGAAATAAAGGTGACAGCAGTGGAAACGAGCTGTTCAGGAAGCAAGGAAGGGGCCAGAGGCTGGGTGACTGAAACAAGTTAGAAGTTGCTAGGGGGTCCAGCCTGCTTAATTATTTTCTCCCTCTCTTACAATCCCCTCCCACCCTTGATGCCCACTAGAGCCACTCCTCTGGTTATCAGTTAAATAATTTGGTTATTCTGAAACATACTCCATTTATCTTCATAATTCAATAAGATCCTAAAAAGACAACTGTCCCTGCCACTATGGCAAGAAGGCCTCTAAAGTCCAGGTAAGTGTGTCTGACCATGTGGCCTTATCTCAAATGAAGCTTTGATCAACACTGTTGATCCATATCCTGCTCTTAGAAGTAAACATTTTGTGTGATATAAACACATCCAGAGAACAATCCTCACACTTTTTTTTTAATATTATGGGTTTTTAGATCCAATTTATTTCTGTCCTAGACAATTTATGCAATCCCTTTTGTGTTTTACAGACTACTGGCATCAAGTATGTAAAATGATTTAACTGAAGTTGCAGAACAGTATTATTTATGTAGAGGATATTTACCAGACATCAGTATATGACAGGACGCTAATAATTTTCGGTGCTCTAAAAAACCCCTCTATTTTAATATACCATCATTTTGCTATTAAATACAGAACATTCAACAAACAGAAATGTAGAGTCTAAAACTTGTCTTTAAAGCATAATTAGTTCTATAGTTTATGATGTCTAGTTTACAAGAAATGAGTTCTGAGCTGCATTGTTTTGTTTGCACAAACTGCTTCTGCCATGGAAGACAGAAGCAGAACAATTTCAACTGAGACACCATTTGTTCTTATTAAGTAATCTGTAGGCTGCTATTGAATCAGGCCTTTGGTCACTTCTTGAAATACAGTTCAAGAATAATAAAATACTTTTGGTTGGGCTGACTTAGTTTACTTGAAGAAAACAGATCATTATTTTATGTCATAGCATCTGACAGAACTGTCTGTAGTAGTATTGGGATACCAAAAAATAAACAAAATTACACAAGTAAGGGATATGCTACTTAAAGTCTTAAATATAGAGGCTTTCAGAGTAAAGCTACTGTGTTCTGGCTTCCACACAGAAAGGCAGTATCTTACAGCATCCGACAGGCTGCTACAAAGAAAATTTTAACAGATGTAAAAACTACATTCCCTGTTTCCACCGATTCTATGGAATAAGCAAAAGAGAAGTACAACTGTTGTACAATTTATCAGTCATTTTACAAAGTTCTTCTGAATTTCAAACTTTACTGTTTTCCTTATTCTGAGAGTAAAGGAAAAATTCTCCTAGTGCCATGCCAGACAGTGCTTCTCCTCCAATACAAAATCTCTATTTCCATTAACAGGACAATTGTATTTTCAGGACAGGACAATTCCTCCCTCTGGTTCCTTGTGTTTGAAACATCTTTTTCTCTGCTTTGTTGTGTACACAAACCCTTACTAATAAAAAAGTATGCATAGCCTGAGGAAAAATTCAATTCCTCTGTCTGAACTGCCTATTGACAAAATGATAAGGAAATTGGAACATCTGGCTTCTAATAAGACCTCATTCCCACTGATATTTTAATTGTTTCCAAAGCATTTTTAGATCTGCCTCTGCTAATATATTTTGCTTTTTCTGATACTGTCATTAATGAATACGATCTAATAAGCACATAAGACTGATGAACATCCTCTAGGATTGCTTGATGCTCCTCTAGGATGTTTTTTCTTAAATATTCCTGAAAACTGTTAGGCAGCTAACTCTTCATAGAAGTATGTGTAGGCTGCAATCCACTTTTAAGCTATGGATTGAAAAAGTGACATGGGACAGATACTAGTAATAGCCCAAAAGCAAGCAACCCTATCTGTATTTTTCATGTAGCTAAATACTGCCTAGTCATCTCAGTAAGTGGAAGAAATATGAATAAAGAGTGGATGATATGCATAATAACTATGGAAAATCGAAAATATTCTATATGGAAAAAGGAAAAGTGTCAAAGAACTGACAAATGCTACCAATCCGCCCTCAAATCATACATATTACAAATAAAAAAGCATGTGGTCACGGTACATGTTACTAACCAGTCCCATAGCAAAAACTGAATTGAATTAAAAAATATGAATTTAGTTCAGATTCAGTACACTTGGTCTTGGAGGAGTAGTAAACACTATTTAAGAGAGTCTTTTATTAATAATTCAAGGTGGAATGTGTACGTGTCTGAGTAAAGCCTACTTATTTACTCAGAAAGACAAGTGCCTAGTACAGAGACTGAAAGTGAAGGCAAATAGAAGGAAAGTGCATTTTTCCTTATTCTATGGCAATCTTAACATATGTTATGCTTCCAAGCCATGTATTTCCCTGAAAAACCATAGTAATTATGTTATAGTATACAGCAATTATGGTTACTACTCTTTTTTACTCAGTTGTGGAGAAGTTATGTTTTATTTCCAAAACGTGTAGCCGTTGCCTTTTCAATGCCTGCGGGGTGTTCCGTGGCTACTTATGAAAAGTGGTATATACATAATAGAAATGATTATGGTATCGTTATAAATCACTGTGCAAACTGTCATGCTGTTAGAGATAATCTATGGTCAACCAACAGACAGGCACACCCCAATCTGGTCTTAAAAGTTCAGCCGAATAATAAGCAATAATGAGCAGTAAACTGTTAACCTCAGTTGTCATGACAATATTGCTTGTAACAAAGACAGGAAAAAGCCTCAACAGAACAACTCACAAAAGTTGAAGTAAAATGCCCAGTTATTAAGTAAAAATATATGGGCAGAGGTAATTCAAATAAGCTATTGTTCACATTTTTGTTGGAGGAACTGACTGCTCTTTAAGAGTTCTTTAACAGATTGCTTTGGGGAATTAAGACAAAGTTAGTGATGAATATAACGTTCTATTAAGCAATTTTCTTTCTCAGTTGTGCACAACCACTTATGAGCCAGAACATAACAGCTCAATCAAACCTTATTGTATCAGCTTTACTTGAACCCCTCTGAAACATACTGAGAAAATTGTGATATCACTAAAAGACTTGGGAAAAAAAATCCAGAAAGAAGAAATGAACATTACGGCTACCTTTTTACATTCTCTTAATTTCTTCTGCCATATAGAGCGAGCAATAGGAATGTGCTTTCTGTCAGTTACATAGCAGCTGGCTGTGATGATGTGGTGGAGTGCAGTCTTCTGGCTCATAGCTTGAAGAACTCGCTCAACATGACGGAGGGAAACTGTGGCCTCAGTCCATATGCCACCGCTAACAAGCTGCATTGTACAAGGTACTAGAGCAATCTGTCCAGCACAGTAGAGAACATCTCCAACCTAGAAGAAAATAAAAACAAGTAAATAAGATTCTGGGATTGTATACAAGGCATGAAAAGCACTTATCTCCTTTCTAGGTAGTTTCTTTCAACAGTACTGTTCTTTGCCATCATTTGTCACAAATGGAGCAAACATGTCAGTCTAAAGATAATTTTTGATAGGGGTTTAACTACAATCTAGAAACACAGCACTGCAATATACTCTAACATAACAGTTAATACATGGACGTATGTGTCAGCTCAAAACAATAATACCTGATGTTACTGACTTCTACAGCTGTTGGATCACACTGATGCCCCAACATGGTTAAATATGTTCTTGCTTTCTTTTCTTGAGTGACAACACCCACTATTTTTGATTCAGTGATATTTTTTTTAACTTCTAAGTCTTAAGTTAAGTTTCATTTTATGTAAGAATATATAAGAAAGTTTAAGTATATATCTGTAATGTCTTTAGTAATCTAACTTAAAAATACTATAAAAATAGTACTTACAAAACACCTAAAAGACTGTGTATGGAAGAAGTAATGATAAGCCACCAGAAGGTAAAAGGAAATTGCAGATTGAAAATTAAATGCAGAAGAGTGCTACTTGCCCCCAAAAATGGATTCGCCTTTTGAAAATGGAATTAAATGGGTGGCCAGATACCATCAATGTATGTTTTAAGTTGAGTTGCAATGCACTTTCTTTGGGCTGATTTTTGCAAAGTCTTCCTGGCAACACTCTCAAGACCTACTTTTCTTAACAGCAGCCAGCAAAGGAAACATTTGTGCTTACTATTCAGACATCTCAAAGATTTATTATAAAATCTTAATGTAAATATCAAAACTTTTCATCCTCTTATGCTGCACTTCTCTAGAAAGTCACTGCATTTCCTGATCAGTGAAGCAGTAAATTTTATACAATATCAAAAGAAAACTATGTATAGAAGTGGGAAGTAAGGTGGGCGTAAGCAGCTTTGAAGTCAGCATAGGAAGCATTTTGCTAGGAGAGGAAAAATGGACTATGCAAGGAATCTTTAGGAAGAATTTTTCAGAACTTACTGTATAAACCGTAAAAATTCCTCAGAATTAAGAATAATTAAAAAAGAAATCTGTGTCCTACAAGACATGGCAATCAAACCATGTGACAGACCCATATGCAACTCCAAATCTGTCCTCATAACTGTCTGTGTCTCACAAAAGACTCACACATGTAACTATTGGAAGAGTATCTTATACAATTTGGCATACAAGTTCTATGATTAGCAGCTGAAGAGGGGGAGGAGGCAGAGAGGAAACATAATATATCAACTGACACCCATCAACTATTTAAATTGTTTAAAATATCTGAAATATTGTTTTGATAATGCTATATATAATCCTGAATTTGGAAAAAAAAAAACCCTATGCAAGTAATATTTTGGTTTATAGGAACAAATGGTCTTTTTTTTTTTTTTTTTACAGTGCTATTTTAAAATATGTGCCATCAAACAAGGGAGTCCAGCCAGCTACCAAGTGGCATACTGACAAGATGAGAAACAAATTCAGGAAGATATGATTCAGAGGGGCACAGGTTTGTTTTTAAAGCAAGCTATTCATTTTCACCTCTGCAAAGTGAAATCCATGCATTAGTCGAAAACTTCAGTACAGGTATTTTATACTTCTACAGAAAAAAAAAAAATCACATGGGCAGTATTTCTTCTTTTTTCCCCTTCTGGGCTGCTGGTTTTCCATGCATCACCCATGTTAATTATTAGGTAGACAGAAGAGCTGTTCAACCAGTTCACTTCCCCTATTCTTGAACAGATTGTTTGAGACATAATATGAATACTAATTAACGATAAAATATCTGTCAGTGTTTTGAAATATGGACCAAGATAGCACTTTCTTAAAGTATCCTGGATAGTTCTGATACAATTAGCCCCATTGGTCATAAGCAAGGTCAGAAAAAAATCTCTGAAGGATTTGAGCAAAATTGGCACCACTCTTGGCTCAGATTCAGTGGGAATTTTGCAGAGTTCTTTAAAAAACAATTTAAAAAATCCCTCTGTTCCTAACATACTTGTTTGTATCTTAAGATGTAATTAACAGAAGAACAGTTTTCCTAACATGACACCATGTTATGGAAGGATGGATGCAAGGGAGAAAGAGGGGAAGAGGGTCAAAACACGGCCACAGGTTTGCAGCAACTGTATTTCAGGGGGACATAATTTAGGACAGAGGAAGGAGGAGGGATGTTCCTCTTCTCTTTTGCCATGACTTGGTCATGAAAAACAAGCATAAATAAAGAATCAGCAAGGGCAAAGCAGCAAACCAATACAAACAGTGTTTTAGCAGATTTCAAGAGGTTGTCTCTAGAATGCTTGAAGCATTATACAAAAAATTGCTAGCAGACTAAAAGCATTTAAAATGGGGAAGACATCATAATATCTTGTTCACAGTACTGAAATCTTACGAGAGATGTCACAATGTATGGTGTCAGTCCTGGTGTTGTGAAACTGTTCTGCAAAACCCTGCTAGAACCTTACAACAGTTTATCATTTCTGGAGCATCTACAAGAATAACAGAAGATCTTTCAGGCTATAGATTCACAATGTTTCAAGTCTAGAGGACTTGCATATCCAGTAAGCTCAGCATAGAAACAAAACTACAATATAGTGGATGTGTATTTATACACTAGATGTCTCAGCTTACACTGATGATTCAATTGTTACTGAAGCCCATATACGTATTTCCAGTGCTAAAATTTCATTAAATATTTGACAAACCCAAAATAAAAAACCTTGTACTGCTGAGATGCTCACTTGTACCAATTTATTTCCAATATAGCTCCACAGCAGTAAGCAGTCTATAAATGGAGCCTCATGTGATTCCACATCTTCCCTTTTTATCTTCATTTGTAACACTGCAAGTTAAGTGAAAGGCAAGTAATAAGCTAATATAATAGTTTAGCAGCTCTTTTGCTCAGTTAGCACAACCTTAAATAACCAAGGGAATTCAGTGGACAATCAGAATCTCAGAGTATGCAATATGTACCCTAAACAGATAGGAATGCCAAACTCTTATTTGAGAGTTTTCACAGTGTAGTTGTGCTGCAGGAATTAAATATAATATAAAGCTAGATCACAGCTAATACAGAGCAAATACAGTAGAGTAGCAAATTATTATTTTATTTCACCTTTTTTTGTAAGCTGCACTCACTTTTTAGGAAAGCAGAAGGAAAGCATCTGTGGTACCATGGAAAGGAAAAGTCAGAATGCTTGGTGTCACTTTGAACTGTTCTATCCTATGAAAAAGTTTTTAACAGTATTATAAGTTACCGAAACAACACAACATATCTCCCACAAAATATAATTCAGAAAAAGAAACAGTGAGAAAAACAGACTTCACTGGACATAAGGACTAACTTAATCTGCTAATTAGCAAGGGAAAACTATAATTATTGTTACTTAGAAAAAGAAGTATTAGGATACCTATAGATATGCACTGAATTTGTTTTTTGTTTTTTTTTTTAAATTAAAGGCCAACAGCAACTATGGAAACCTCATGAAACTTTTTCTGCTGGTACTATTAAAACTTGCCAGTGATTAACTGGCAAAACACAAAAAGTGCAGGGAACTTCTAACGGAGAGATTTCAACCATTCACCCACAGGTGTTTAGGCCAATGTTAATAGTTGCACCATATGAACAAATACGTGTTTCTTGGAGAGGATGGGGTCAATATGCAATCAGCCAAATCTGTGTTACGGATGCAGTTTGGTGTCTGAGTGACTGCTGCCCTTTAGCAGGTCAGGGTGCACAAAAGATTCAGCGACCCCCTGACCTGACAGTGAAATAACTCACCATTATGTTGAGTCAAAGTAAATAAGCATAACTGACAATACGCTAATGGGCTGCCTCTGGTCAGCCATGTGTACCTCTGACCTTAATGAAGACCTAAATCAATTAATACTCCAGGCAATAAAGACCTCTGGCTGATTAAATTAGATAGAAATCATCTTTTCTAACGGGATTAAAGCTCTAAGGTGGTGAACTTTTTATTTAATATATGATAATCCTTTCTTCCTAGGGCACTCTTATTTTAGCTAATGATGGTAAAATTGCTATTTGCAATGTGAAATCTTTTATTCAACTACCTAGTGTGAATAAAGTTTTAAAGGTACCGTTTAGACAACACTAACTGAAGAGCTTTGAGTTCACACTATGAACACAAATTGTATTTCATTAACCTGGTTCTAATACACCACAACCTTCAATATAATTCACATTTTTCTTGAACTGTTTCAAATTTGTAGTGTAAAAATTCCACAAATGAGCTGATCACACATAGTTCAGTTTGATACAGGCTTTCTTTTGAGAATATGTGTACAATTATCAGTAGCTAAAAGATGAAGGATATATTCCTAAATGAAAATTAAAAAAATGTTATGATTATCTTTGACTAAAAAAAATTGACACTGATAAAAATCCACGTATTGCTTAGTAAGATGCTTGCTTATCATACTGAAATCTCCAGAACTTCCCTCTAAATATTTTTTCCTATTTAGGTAAAAAAAATATCATTAATCAATAGCATATTATTGCTATTATATTGAGATAGCTGTAACACTTCCAAAATTTTCAGAGATTTATAATTCAGTTTTCAAATGCTGTGACTCCAGATTGATGAACCTCATTTTGAGATGAAGCTTCATATATTTCAAAATGTATTTGATCACCTGAGCCACAAGACTACAAAGCACTCATATTTTTGTGTTGTTCTTCACTCTTAAAAGTTTATTTAATCAAAGCGTGATTTAAATTTTTCTCTTTGAACTTACATATATGTGGGTTGAAAATTCACAGGACATTTTTTATCAAGAAGTAAAGTAAAATACCGCAATTCCATGGATGCTAAATTAGGCTGTATAATTTTTTTTTTATTTGCAGTTTAGCAAAATTAAGATACACTGTCCACAAAGTCATATTTAACACTGAGCAGAGTGTCATAACACTATCAATAGACCTAAAACTTTTGTG